CTCCTGCAGTGCCACAACGATGCCACCCGAAGGTTGCAGGAACAGCAACTCATATTCCGCTTGGGAACCCTGCAGCCCAATGATATCAATGTGGATTTCACAAGTTTCAAAATCTCCCCTCCCCCTACCGCATCCCAAAACCAGTCCAGCTCGTCCCTGCATCCCTAACCTGTTCTTCCTCCCACCTATCCCCTCCTCCCACCTCAAGCCGCACCTCCATCTCCTACCAACCAACCTCATCCCGCCCCCTTGACCTGTCCGTCCTCCCTGGACTGACCTATCCCCTTCCTAACTCCCTACCTACACTCACCTTTACTGGCTCCATCCCCGGCTCTTCGACCTGTTTGTTTCCTCTCCACCTATCCTCTCCTCTATCCCTCTTCTATCCGCCTCCCACTCCCTCCCTATTTATTTCAGAACCCCCTTCCCCTCCCCCTTTTCTGATGAAGGATCTAGGCCCGAAACGTCAGCCTCTCTGCTCCCATGATGCTGCTTGGCCTGCTGTGTTCATCCAGCCCTGCACCTTGTTGTCACAAAGTAAATGTATATTGCTGATGCAGGTTGCTACATCTGCACACATCTACCATTACTTCCTATGTGTGTTATCTCTTCAAACAACCCTATACTTTCCTATGAAGCTCTCCATTCCCTTGGTATTTTCCTACTGTACAACTCTATCCCATCACGGGCTGCTGCGTCCTCAGTTTCCAATGCTGTATTCTCTTGGATTTCTTCCTTGGACTGACAACCCAACCCCACTTTCCTTTCCTCCTTTAAAACCTTCTCAAACACTCTCTATCCCAGCTACTGGAAACTTACCCTAGAATTGCTGTGGCTCACGTAACATTTTCTTCCTTATGCTTTTGTGAAGCACCTTAGGCCAATTCATTATGTTGAAGGATCAGTATTAATATTATTAGGTATTGATCCAATTGCTCCTGTGTTATTGTGATTTCGGCAGCAGAAACTACCTCCCTTAATTCAATTTTTTCTGTTTTTCTCTATGTTCTTATGTATTCTTCATTCTCTGTCAAATAATTTTCCACCTTTTGCCACAATAACCAATTATTGTAAAGTATTATTTGCTTGAATAACAATCTGTATGAAAACATTTCTTGTAATTTGGTTACTTTATCATATCCAAGTGGTAAGTGACTGGAGGTAAGCCTTCCCTTTCAATTTGCTCCTAACAGTGAAAACAAATTTGAGTTTTGAAAATTTCTCATAAGGTACATGGGATGATGTGTTATTGCTTGAAAATATTCAGTCACACCCTTAGGCAGCACTGTGGAGTTCCATTTTGTGTACTGCTAAATAGATATTCTGTAATGTAAGGTTTGTACTTGCAAGCCATTGCTAATTCATATTTTAAATGTTTTGCAGATGATACAAAGATTGCAATGCACCTGAGGGACAATGGAGGTAAATATTTGACTTATATAATGATACAAATTTAATTGTTTTCATTTAAATAATTAAAAACATTCTGTGGCACTTAGCTAAGAATTTAATATGAATTTGAAGACAGGTGTATTCAATCTTATTTTTAAATATATGCTTCATGAGAAAATTAACTTCATTTCATAAGATTTGCTCCTTATCTCTGTTAACATTGAATTCAGAATGAATGTGAAATCCATGCATCAGGGGCATAGTTAATTTTTATCTCAATTTTATCTCAATGATGCACTTTGTATCTGATTTAATTATCAAAAATTGTATTTCCTTTATTTTTAATATATTATGCCTAGTTATAATACAATATCCACAACAATTGTATAAAAATGATTTCCTTTGCTGGTAGAAATTTTGAGCAGAGAAAATTATTTTTGTGGATACCTGACCTTACAAGTAGTGCTCAGAATAATGAACAGAATGTCTCTGGGCTCACACATTGACAGTGTAGGTTGCATAGTGTTTAATTCACTTAAGAATAATAGACATGCCACAAGTGGGGAAGCAAGGCTTCACAAAAGCATATTTCCCCAGAGTATTCACTTTTTGAAATCTAATTGCATTCCGCAATGAAAAAATTTCTATATCCTTATGTTTCAAGTACGAGTAGTCATTCTCTCTTCTACAAACAATGTATAATTGTGCTACATTTGACCTTTTGTATCCTACATGGATTTACAGAATTGTTTTTAGTCGAGATACAAATGATGCAGAGAGGTCAAACAATGGAACAAGTGGAGAAGGAGGCCCGTCTGTAGCAAAGACAGATCGAGAGATTCAGAATGAATCGCAAGATAATTGTATGAGAAACTAGGCAAAGTACAATGAGGTGAGAGAAAGCCCCAAGCTACTAAAACTGATGGCATCCCTGCTAACCTTGCTCCAGGAGTTCTGAAGGAATGAAGTCCTTAATTGGCAGCAGAAGCACTGCCATTGGGGCTCCCAACTCCACAGAGGACAGTTAACTCATGCATTTCCCCAAGTGGTGTGGAAGTCCTGCCCCTGAGATGGCATTATGGCTGGTTGTAATATCTGTGGAAGGGAATGGTTTGGACCTAACAGTGAGAACTTGTTGTCATCTAGGGGGGTGTGGTGAGAGATTATGTGCAACTGCTCTCTTCAAACATTCCAGCTGTAACTCAAAGGACTGTGTCAATTTTTCTGCCTAAAAATTGACATGCCTCACAATTTTTTAATTATTGTTCATGTGAGATATATGGACATCACTAGCCATTTATTTTGCATCCTAATTGTTCTTGGAAAAAGTCATAGTGTACTGCCTCCTTGAACTGCTGGTTGATCAGCAACTCCCTATTACCAGCAGTGTTGGGAATGACGGCTGCTGGTCGCTATTCACTTTTTCATGTGAAACTGAATTATTTGGATTCATTTTAAGCACCTAGAAATAATCGTATCTATCAGATAATTAGCTGAATCAAAAGCCAGCCTTTTTCCATGGTAGAGTAGTGTCAAGGTGAAAAGCGGGGCAAAGGGGGAGTAGGGGAAATTCTACTTAGGCAAGTCCTGGGGTTGGATTCCTTAGATTACAGACAAGTATGTAGTTGCTGCTGAAGTTGCCAGCCTAAATCAGATGGTTGGAAGCTCAGAAGCCTCCGCAACACCAATGAGAGGAGCAGGACATTGCTGGGCCTGTACTTGGATGTAAGTATCCATTGATGGTCATGCTCCCTGATAGTAAGGTAAACAGGATTGGGAGATGCACTGCTTGTAAAATGTCAGCAGAGGTGAGAAGCATCCTTTAATTAGACACTTAAATGGATCAAATCAATTCAAGTGGACAGCCTTTCTGTCACCTGTTAGCAAAATGGTATGTCAGCGGGAAGGTGTCAGGTGCCATACCTGCACTCTTTTGCCAGCCTTTCCTTCTCCAGCTATGTCATCAGGAGGCTGGCAAAATCCAGTCCAAAATAAGGCTTCAAATGATAGTGAGACATTATGCTTTTAAATAAATGGCTTAATGCTTCATTTAACCTAGCAGTGGTGGGTACTTGATTGCCAAGTATTTAAACATTCGTATAATATCTTTCACAGCAACTTCCAGGCTAAAGTGCCAAATGATTGTATTAAACTCAATGAATGCAGTGTTGAGCAGCATCCCCAAGTCACCATCTTTTTGCCTCTGTAGATCCTCCATGTGTGAGGTCCCACTGCCATATGGTCCGCTTCTCTTTGTTTTCATTTTTCTTTCAACATCCTGCTTTGATCTGAATGTTGTGGAGGTGCTGGTGTTGGACTGGGGTGGGCAAGGTCAGAAATCACACAACACCAGGTTATAGTCCAACAGGTTTATTGGAAAACACAAGCTTTCGAAGCCTTGCTCCAGCAGCGAGGCTCCGAAAGCTTGTGTTTTCAAATAAACCTGTTGGATTGGACTATAATCTGGTGTTGTGTGATTTCTGACCTCAATCTGTATGATGTGCCTGTCACTTGAATCATTTATTTGAATCAGATGTGAATTTCCTTTGGTGAGACAAGAATTGAACAGTCATATGGCATTGCAATTTTGATCCTTATTCCTCTAAATTCAGAAGCAAATTCTTTCTTTCAAAAGGGATATTTTGATGCTGTGTGGAGAAAACAAATCAGCTTTGTAACAATTTGGGTGATTTTTTTGAAAAATGCAATCTTGGTGTTAAAATGGTCAAAAGGTATTCAACAAACTTCCCACAGGTACTCTGACTATCATCCTGTTTTATTTATTTTGGTTAGCTCTTGAAATGTCTTCATTTGCACAACAGCTGCAGACAACGTCACTTGGGAAACTAACTTGGAAGGACTTTAAAAGCTGTGCTATTGGAAGATGCCAGCCTTTACTCAGAGGTCACGCTGTTGGTTCTGACTCAGAATGTAGGGTTTCAAAGCAGACTCCAGAAATTTAGGCATATAAACTGAGGCAATGTTGCACAGTTCAAAGTGCTGCTACAGAGCGGCTATTAGTTTACAGTTTTGAGAAGAAAATGGAAGTGAAAATCAGAGAGATGTAGAACTGGTGGTCATTCTGAAACTTTGCTCTATTGCTATTAGCGAAAATAACCCTAGCATGTGAAACTATTCTTTTAGCTTTACACTTGCATTACAGACTGAGGCTGGAAGCAGAAGCATAATGTACAGTATGGCTAATAACCTGGAATTTGCTGGTTTTCATTATGGACAGAAACATAAATCAAAGGTTCCAAGGGATGATGATGCAAATACTAGAAATAGTCAGCGGGCCAGGCAGTGTCAGATGAGAGAGCAACAGAATTAAGATTTCTAGTCTGATTATTGCAGATTTGTAGGATTGTTCAAGGCGTAGTTATTGATAGGTGACAAATATGAATTTTTGAGTGGGGAGCTAACTAGTTTCAGATGTGCAGGAAAGTTGAATACCTAAAATGTCCAATGTCATCACTTTAAGGCTCAGGCTGTTTAAATCCCTGGGTTTCTTTTGCACCCACTGCTGAACAAAAGGCACCGTGCGGCTTCTCCATTAAAATAGCAGATTCGGAGACCATCAATAGCACCTGTCAACGTGGAGGTCAAGTTGAGGCAGGAGAGAAATCAGGATCACTTTTCAAGTGCGAAGAGAGAGAGGAAGAGTCAGCACAGACCCAGGATATAACAAACCAAAGGCTCAGATAACTATTTGAGTTTTGCATGTAATATCACTTGTTTGAGGCAATTACTCTGACCCATTAGTGCCGTCACATTTATGTTATACAACTCCAAGCAGATTTGGCATTGGGTGCAGCATCAATGCTGTAACATGAAAGAAACATCCAGTTTAACACCCCATCCCATTTAGTGAGCTATTATTAAAGCAATTGCTTTGTGCTTATTAAATTTAAAAATATATTGTTTGTAGTCATATAGTCCTACTACCGTCAAATAACGTGGTTCAGTGAATATGAGTGATGAAAGCTGTATACAGCTCTGTAGCTGGAAGGCAATTGAATTTATCCAGTCCATATAAATGCCAAATGTAGACCACGCTGGTCACATTGAATACAACCTTCAGGCTAATGCAAAAACATTGAGTCCCTCTATCATAACTGAGGCTCTGATTGGATGAATTGTTGTTAACTTGGTAATTAATTATGAGTGATTTTCAACACTATTTTCCTGAGTTATTGATATGATGTTGAATTACACATAGTAAATATTCATAGCCTTGAGTCATTTCAGGTTAGTTTTGCTAATAATGAACTAAAATTGATTCGGCAGCCATGGAGGCAAACATTTAGATAAGAGAATTGTTCAGTTTTTTATTTGATGGAGAAAATTAAGCCAGCAGGCAGTGGAAAAAATAACTACAGATGCCAAGTGATGACGATTCTATTGACAATGACAATTCTGTTGAAAATTTTGATGCACTTCTGGCTGGCTTCCCATTTTCCACCCTCCATATGCATGAACTCACTCAAACATCTGCTGCCCATGCCCTAACTCATATCTAGTCACATTAACCCATCACCCTTGTACTTCCTGATCTGCGCTGTCTCACAGTTCAGTAATCCTTTGATTTTAAAATGATTATCTTCCTTCAAATCCTTCCAAGGCAATGCCAATCCATATATTTGGAACCTCTTCCAGCGCTACAACCCTCATAATCTTGCACTTCTCTAAATCTGGCCTCTTGCCCTATTTTAACAATTCCACCATTGATTATCAGTGACCTAAGCTCTATAATTAACTCCTGAAGATGTGCACCCCCATTCACCTCTCCTTTATCTTTAAAATATTCCTTAAAAATAGCTCTCTAAACTACAAATCTCTTTTTTTGATGTAGAAGCTAGGTGGATTAGCCATGGGAAGTAGATGGGTGGGTCTGGGTGGGATGCTCTTTGGAGAGTTGGTGTAGACTTGACGGGTGGAATGGCTTATTTCCATTCTGTAGACACCGTAAAGCCTCTTCAGCATGGATTTTCTAAATGCAGTTTTACCAAGGCACTATATTATTAAAGATT